GTTGGTGTGGGCCAAGGGAAAAAACATCAACAAAAAAAAAAAAAAAAAAGGAAAGAAATCTCTAAACGAACAGCTGGCGGTTCTGTGAGAAAACAAAGCTATAGGCCGTCCTTCACACACCTTCTTCCAGCCCACTGTTCTTCCTAGCTCTCATTCACTAGGGTAAAAGCCTCTGATCTAAACGGTCAGGGCTCGCAACATGGGCTGGCTGTGTGACTGTGTGTTCTCACGATGCCTCATCTGCCATGCTCTTCTTACAGTGCGATGTTGATACGCTTCCATCGTGGGGCAGGGCCGCTGTTGTCTCCTCTGAACCTGGCTGGACTTGGTCACTGCCTGAGCTAACAGGATGTAGAAGTCATGCTACCTCACTTCAGAGGCTGGTCATGAACTTTAATTTTTATTTTTTAAGAAACTCTAATATATCTTCCACTTGGCTTTCTCTCAAGATGTTTGCTGCATTTTGAGAAAGTCACAAGGCCTGGCCAACAGCTGACCACCAGACATGTGAGTGGTTCCATAGTTGGACCCAGTCCTCAGCCTTTGAGTCTTCCAGGTGAGAGTCCAGATAAAAGGAACACAGAAGAAACATCTTCACTATGCTGTCTGAATTCCTAAGCCACAGATGCTCCAAGAACTGATAAATGGTTCTCCCAGCCAGCCACTAAGGTGTAGAGTGATTTGTTACATAGCACCAGGTAGCTAATGCTAACATCCTCTACATTTCCTAAAGGATGTGAATCTTTATGCTCCTTGCTTGTGCTTCCTGTATCATTTCAAGGTAGATTAAGCCACATCCATTTCTTTTGTTTTCCACTTTTTCTGTAATATTTATATAGGTGAACAAATATTCCAAGGCACACTGTATAACCCTAGCCACAACTCCTCTTGGAGTTGGTCAGGAAGGAGGGAGATCCCAAGAGTCAGGAAGCCTCATTTACTTTGTCACCAAAAAGCTCTACTTTGGGGCGGGGTGCCTGGGCCATCTTCATGAAATGGTAATGTATCTCACAATCTCCAATTATTTATTGTGCTTGGCTTCCTTAGAGCCTAGTGGGCCAAGGAGAGGGTGTACAGAGTTAGGATATGGCTGGGTCCTTGCCTATAATAGCAATGCCTCAAAGCAGTGCCCTAATAACCAGCAACATGTGGGGGTGAGAGGAGTACTTAACACTGAAAATGCGTAAAAGCGTAAACCAGTTCCACACCTCTGGGGTAGAACAGCAATGACCCCTTTGCTCCTATTTTCTTCTCCTCTAAGAGTGGATTATGAAGGGCTCGTTATATAACCTCGAGCAAGCGACCTCATCACCTTTCTGTGACTCCATTTTCCTGAATGATAAAAGCAGTATTGACTTAACCGATTCTGTCAGTCTAGGAATCCACAGATCTCTGAGTCACTTCCAAAGCTATTTACACCTTCAGCTTCCAAACAAGAACATATGCATTTGGATGCCCATGGGAGGTGGGAGGAGGGCAGGGAGTGCTCAGTTGTGCCTCCTGGAAATCACAACAGCTGTCACTGGGGCTGTGGGTTCTCTGCAGCAAGTAGAGGATGAAAGTCTCCTGACAGCGGCTCCCTGCGGGGAGCAAGTGAGGGAGAAAAGGCCCAGAGGAAGCAGCTTTGCCTTGGACTGAAGTGACAGTGGAGCCCCCCAGTTCCACACAGGGTTACACCTAGGCCACGTAGGAATAAGTATCAGGGAAAGAGAATAAGCCTTATCTTTGTACCTGAGGATGGGGCAAAGCAGGGGTTTGTCTTCCAGATGTGCAGCTGTCTAAAGAACCTGGTACAGCCAGCATAGATGTGATGTGTGGAGCTAACTGCATTCATGATTCTTTTTACCTGATATGTTGGGAGATGAATAAAGGGAAAGGGACTCTTCAAGAAGCTCTGGCTCTGTATTTGTTATGTGTCATATTCCTGCAACTCATTTAATACTAACTTTTAAAATGTTAGTTTGTTTTCCGGTACCATGAATTGAACTCAGGACATTGCACTTACCAGGCAGGCATAAGCTCCACTGACCTACATCACTGGTGAATACTAACTTTTATTTTTATATTTTGGTACCGGGATTTTTGAACTCCAGACCTTGTGCTTGTGAGGCAGGTGGCAGCACCTCTGAGCTAAATTCCCAGCCTAATACTAATTTTTAAAATAACAGTATTGCACTTCTGATCTGCACTGTGGCCCCACCCTTTCAGCCTCCAGTGAACACACATTCACACCCACAGCACACCAGGCAGGTGGATTATGGTGTCGTCTTGTCCACAGTCCATTCTAGGGGGACATGGTCCACTACAGCTCCCACCAGAGTATCAGTTCAGGTGGCTCTAGCATCGCATGACTTCCCTCCTCCATTTGCAAGTGGCTGCTGAGATGGTGTTTAAAACAAATCTTCATTTTTCTTTTCTTTTTTAGGAATTGAACTGGAGGAAAGTGGGAAAAGATGGTCACATCCTGAGCCAAAGCAGGAAGATGGAGTTAAGATTTTATGAGGTCAGAATAGGAAAAAGCACATACAATGAATACAGGGAAAGAAACAACACCCCCCTCCCCAAAGCAGAGAAAAGACAAAATAAGGAAAATAAGGGTGTTGGTAGCAGGTGGGCCACATGGGCCGCTCATAAACTGGCAGCTGAAAGGGGGTGGGGGACAGGAAGTCACAGCCAGGCATGGCGGAGGTGCACATCCTGTGAATATCGCCCTTCACAGCTTCCCACCTGGTAGAGCAATTTTTGTTGTTTTTGTTTTGTTGTTTTGGTAGTGGGGATTGAACTCGGGCCCTTGTGTTTTTGAGGCAGGCGGCGAAACCACTGAGCCAAATCTCCGGGCCTGACTCAGTGGTTTTACTCTGGTGTTATGCGAACAACAAACAAACGTGGTTCCAGCGTTATTCACCAGCACGTGTCAGCCTCAACTGGGGCAGTTGGACTTTATAGACCTGTTTAATTTCTGCTTCTGGAAAGCATTTCCACTGAACAAAGTGCTCCTGGCTGCAAGAGGTACAAAAACTGCTTGGTTTAGAGGGCTAAATCTAATCTTAGTGTGGCTTTCCATAATCTTTGCATAGCTCCACTTCCGGTTTGCTCCTTCAGGCCCAAGTTACTTTCACGTTACTACAGGACCACCCTATGGAAAGTGTCTGGATGGCTCTGGGCAGATACATATGTCCTTCCTTCTCCTACTGTGTTTTCTTTGAATTCCTAAATCCAAACAGTTCCCTTTTATGTTCTTACAGTTGATTTATGTTTACCTTGCAAACGGTCTCCGGTATACTGCCCAGGCCTGGCACATGGGGAACGCTCAAAGGATATGGTGGAGATGAAAAACGCATCTGGCTTCATAAGCTGGATGCTGCCTCGGTGCTTAAAGGCTGGAGGAGCGCTGACCAGAGCCCCGTCTTCATGGGTTGCATGCGGTACCTCAGCTGCCTCATTCATTATCCATGAATCAGTCATTGTATCCCAGACTGTTCTTCACTGTCATTGTAGCCTTTAGCTGCTCACTGAAATGAGCCAATTAAAGCTGAATTATTTTAATTGCCAATCATGAAGAAAAAAGATATTTTATAAAAAATGAAAATGCAAGAATGTGTGGATCTCACCATTAAAAAGAGCCAGAATGTTCTTATATCCAGATTATGAGAGGTCCACTGCTCCCAGAAATAGGTTGGACTGTCAGAGCGTAAAGAACAGGCTATGTTGTGTGGAGCACAAAATCGACCCACATCCTGGCCTGTTAGCGTCCTCTTGCATCAAGAGAAGCTCAGTGGTTATTGGTTCAGATGAGCGTAAACATGAAGGGATTTACTGATGCCTCGTGGGGGGCCACATTTTTTGGCAGGGTAATGACTGGCCTTTCTGCCCTCCTCTTTTATGTTCAAAAGCCTTCCTACAGGCTTATTTTTCCAGTAAATATTTTCAATGATGAAAATACATTTTTAGGTGATAAATTGGTGCAAAACTGCTATATCCTTTTCAAAGGGCAGCTGAAGAATAGAATAGCAAATTTAAAAAGCCATATCGAGGTGATCCACAAATAACAACTTCCACTCCTTTAAATACACAAGAAAAGCTATTTGGGGTTGGCTCAGGGTCCGTTCGGGTTTCCATTTTGCTTCCAACGGTGGTTACAATGGCATCTTTGTGAAACAGCTGCCCTTGATGGTGCAGTATCAAAAGATTAGGGAAGGACTGTGACTATTTCTCTGTTATGGGTCTGTCATCCTGGCAGTATCTAAAATACCTTTTTGAACGCGTAGTTGTTCCAGCCTGGGTCACCCACAGAGGTAAGACATTTAGTAAGATTTCCAGCCAGTTTCAAAAGAAAGGCTTCAAAGGAATTTGTTCATTCTCAGAAAAGCTGAAAAGCTGATGTTTGATCCTTCCATGCAATTTATGAACTTCCAGTCATAAATAGTTTGGTGTGTCCATTCATTAATACTTGTTGAGTGTCTCTGGTGCACCCAGCACATTGCCAGCCACTGGGAATATACCTTATTGCCTCATGACTTGAGGTGCCAACTTGTAGATATGGCAGGTCCTTAAGAATGCAGGAGAGACTAAGTAGCAAAAGCTTTTGGGTAGCATTTCAGCTGGAACTTGATGTGGAGTAGGATTCCGCACAGGTATTAGAGTTTGGGCAATTCAAAGAGGACAGAATGAGGGAGGTGCAGAGACTGGCAGCAAATGACAGTTCAGCAAATGACAGAAATGAACAATAATCCAGGGAGGTGACCGATTTGAAGGCACATGGAAGTGTAGCGGGAGAAGAGGTTAGGAGTATCATTTTGTGCAGTTAGAGGCATCAAAGGAGTTTAAGCCTAGGTGTGACACGATGAGGTTTATGTTGTATAGAGACACTTCACAGTGCCCCAAAGGATGGGTTGGAGCGTTTAAAGTTGGGATAAAGACAATCTGTGGACATGGAGGGTATTTGGAATTGCTGTGAAGAGGGGGACTAATATTTATTGTGCGTCTGCAACATGCCAGCTCTTCACATACGTTATCATATTTAATGCACACGGCAACCATGTGAAGCAGGAATTAATAATTCCTATTTACGAAGTAAGGCTCAGTAGCTAGCCCAAGATTTCTCAGTGAGGTGTTAGTGGAGCTGAGCTTTGATCGACACCGGAGCGAATGATGAGAGTCTGAATTATTCCAGCAACCATGCTGAAGAGGCGTCCTCCCTCTTCAAAGAAGTCTCCAGAGTTAGTTGTGCCGCATTTGGAAGCTGCTCCATCCACTTCATCACTCTAATTGCTTTAATATGACTAATTGACCAATTACTAGCTGGTTATTTATAACCATGGTGGAATTAGTTGCTTGGTTCAATCAAGCAACAAAAAACTATCTGATTTGCAGTGACTCAATTTATCAAAGTATTTGGAAGGGGCAGTGTGCCTAGGTATACTAGCAGTAGATAAATGTAGGCAGTGTAATATGTTGGAATATCTGGCTATTCACAAGTCACAATGGCAACAAAAATATTCTGACACTAGCTCTATAGCCAACTGAACCAGTCATAGCTGTAAGTGCTAAGAGATGTTCTAGAGAAACTTCTGGGTTTTTTTTTCCCCCACAAAGAAACTGAATCTCTGAAAGTATGAAGATTTGCCACAGTTTTCCAGCCAGCAAATGGCAGAGCTTAGATTTAAACCATTTGCATTGTTCTGATGTGAAAAGATCTTTTCCTTCATGCCTGGTTCTCTGGGATGTTGAGCAAGTCTCACGGCCTCTTGAGTCCTCAGTTACTTTGTCTAACATGAGAGGCTTGGTGGATGAATCAGTTAGCTTTTGCTATGTAAGAAACAATCCAAAATGCAGTAGTTCCAAGCAATGATTGTTTTATGTTGCTTGCTATTCTGTACTTTTTTGTGGGGATTATTTGGGTCCAGACTGGCTCACCAGATCTCTTCTGGACTCCCACATGCTTCTATGTGGTGGGTCTAGAATGATCTATTCCTAGTGTTTGATAGAACATTGGCTGGGGATTGGCTGTTTGTTCATCAATGAGGGCACCTCCATTCTTTTCCATTTCATCATCCAGAAGGCTTGCTTAAACTTGTACACAGAGTGGATCTTAGGGAGATTCCAGCACAGAAAGGAAGGGTAAACCCCAGTGAGCACTATATTTGCTAGTCTTCCACTGGCTAAAGCACGGTGCAGCAGGCCGCATCTGAAATGGCTCCCAGTGATTTTTGCCATCTGGTATTCCTGCCCTTGGATAACCTGCTCCCTTGTGCAGGGCTGGACTTAGTGAGGTATCTCTAATGAACAGAAGATGG